TTCACAGAAACTCTTTCTGTGATTAATCAGCATCTGAAATGTTTAGGACTCAGTCCTTGTTCCCATGGGTGTAGGCAGGAATAAATAACAGTAAAACAATAAAACAGCACTTAACCGACAGCATGTGTGAGGCTGATGGGGAGGCTGAAAGGTCGCTTCTGTGTGCTTTCTCGTTGGGTCCTGATAGTTGTTCCCAGCTATGTCAGGTGAGCGAGATGCACTGTAAAAGCGTGATCAAGGACAGAGCTCTTGTTTGTGTGAGTCAGGCTGCTGTGATCATCAATGGGTCTTTATTCTTTAAGTGTGACTTCATTAACCAAGGATAAAATGCACCTGTCGTTTATACAATGGTAGCCCTCCCCCACAACAGACACACAGCTGGCCCTCTATGCATTGTAGCTGCAGCAATGTACACAGTTCCGGCAATGATGTTCCTTTCTCCCATTCGTTGCATCATCACACGAGACTCCAAATTCAGACTTATAATCGTAGGTGTGTCTCTCAGAACCAGAAATTGTCATACCTGCACTGAGTGCATCTGAAGTGCTGATGATAGACATAGGAAAGCCTCCTGAATGTTAACAAAGCAGAAATCACAGACAGCCACTTCGATTCAAAAATGGGATTGTAATATTTCAGGAGGGTTGTGATACTGTTGTGAGAGTATACAGGGTAGTATCAGTAACAGGAGCCATAAAACTACATAAAACTAGAGAGTCATAGCTTCCCCTTACGAGTAAAGAACACAAAAGAACAGTAATCAACCACATTTATTTGAATACGTTTTATTGTACATTTTCAGCAAAATCCTTTTTTATGAAACAGAAATCTTTTGGCAGTGCTATGGTAAAGCCTACGGTTGTACTCTGGCATTCCTGTCTGCAACATTACAGAAAATATCAGACTTGCATCTTGCTTTGCCTTTGATCTTCGTCTTTCATACAGTCTTTCATTCACTGATAAAATCGAGGCACAATGCTCTGTGCTGCGTATTCTTCAAGGATTAATTCATTTTACAAAATCAATGCTGGATCAAATTCTGTAATTCTGTCTGTAGGCATTTTTCTACCAGCACTCTTATTTAAACTTGAAATCTGGGTTGCTGCTCAAGGCTGGTTCATTATAAACACCACTTTTTTTAAAACACACATACTGTGCCCATCATAACACGGGCTTGCTGTTTAATTTCGAACTGAGGTGCCATATTTATAATGTCTATCCTCTCTGGTAAACAAAGAATGTTACCTTCACGTTCTCCCACGAGCTCATGTTCCAGCATTCTATCCTGTGTGCTGTGCTGCAGATTGCTGCTCCTGAACCTGAATGACCAAAGAAAGGAAGGCACTATACACAGGGGTGGAGGGAAATCAATCTGTTCAATCTGTCATGTTCAGATACCAGTACTGAGAAAGACCTCCACTGCACACTCTAATGTGCGCATCTGTGTGCATTCGTGGGTGTGAGTGTGCTTGCGTGTGTGCATCTGCATGCGTCCATGTGTATGCGTGTGTGCATATTTCCGCTCATGTGTCTATTTGCATGTATCAGCATGAGTGTTTTTGCATGTGTGTGTGTGTGTGTGTGTGTGCGTGTGTGTGCTTGTGTGCGTATGTGTGGGGTGGCCAGTTCAACTCCTCTCCTGCAGGCCAGGTGATAAAGCAGCAGCCGCTCTCCACTGGTTCAGCTCTGCACGGTGTCAGAGAAAGGGGTTCAGGAGCTGGTGGCCATCGGAGAGGCGTCCTTCACTACTGCAGGCTGAGAGTGCTCGCTGTCCTTCAGCAGACTGCTGGGAAAGCACAGCCTGACCGGGAGCTGGACTTCTTGTGCAGTTGGAGAGACACTGTGTGTCAGTGTGCACCTTGGGCACTCTCCTTGAATACACCCTGACCTCGTGTGCACATACAGCAGATGAAATTAGTTCTGTAAAAACAAGTCATTAAGTCTCAGCTCTATTATTATTTAAGTATGTCCATTAGGGTTTTATATTGGTTCTGTATACTCTAATATCACTGGTGAAAATTGAGTAGCGTGTTTCGGCAAGTGAGTGCATGAATGCAGAATATATCCCTGAGGAGAGTTAGACCGTGTTACGAAATTTGAAGGTGTCAAAATCATTACTTGGTCTTAAAGTCAGAAATGTAAATGTAAGTTTTAGCTTGGCCACTTCCACCAAAGGCTCCACACATCTCCCCCTGATTCAGCTCCTTCCCGGAGACTCAGCAGTGCATACACCCAGGCAATCAAGCGAGCCCCTCGCCTCCCAGGTGTGTCCCCTCCCGGCCGGAGTTGGAAGAATCTGCTAAGGGTCACCAGCAAGGATCCGGCCCTGGCTGGCACCACAGCGACTGCAGCCTGCAAAAGCTTACATGCAGATGTTAAATAAAAGAGAAAGCCAGGAATGTTAGTCTGCACTAGACCAATTGTTTCTTCCCCTACTTATTAGTTCAATTTAAAATCTTTTCCCGCTGGGTGGTGAAACCTTTGCTTCTATTCCGTCAGTTTTAGTTTTATGAAATTAAACTGCTACCAAATTTATTGGTTTAACACAACTTTTCAGCATTTGTTTAACAATGCCCATACTATAATCTTACAGTAATCTTACAGTAAGTTATAAGCTCATGATCAGTGTATGCTATATTAACTCTGAGGACACATTTTTATCTTTAACGCCTGACAGCCCTGGGGCTGCACTGATAACCGGGCGCAGCAGCATCGTTGCACAGGTGCAAGAGAGAAAGTAAAAGAGAAAAAGGAAGCACAAAGCAGCTGCTGCTGTGTCACATTACCAACATGGCGTTGTCCTGTCTCAGTTTCTAAAGAAATGCATGGCTAAAGAAAACACACATAATAGACCAACAGTAACACTGCTGCTGCTGCTGCCGCCGATGCAGGCAGGCCTTGCTCGTGCTCCTGAAGTCTGACTGGTTGGCTGCAGGCAGCGGCTGATGACAGGTCTTGCATTCTAAGAGCCTGTACAGGTTTGATGTGGATGCTAAGCCTATTAGACAGCGCCTGTGTCTCGGAGGAGAAGATACAGCTAAACCCCGCCGTGCCCACCAGAACCTGAGGCTGAACAAAAACCCCGACTGAAACTGCTGCTCATCTTCCTGACTGATCAGTCCCAGCACCCAGCGAATCTAGAACGTGAAAGTGCACCAGTGACAATAGAATGAATAGTCATAACAGCAGTAACTGATAAATTGCAAGTTGCGACTGCATATTAATGGGCATTTCATTTTTTTCGCTCATTCACAACAGTACAATTAGAAAAATGCTTACAGAACTGTATTTGATATGAAGTCTTTGTCATGACAAACTCCACAGTGGTGGAGATGCTACAACAGAGGAGAAGGTTTGTAGCCTTAGGTCTTCCCTCCGCTGACAGGAGAATGAACCCCTCCCGTTACTGAGTACAGTCATAATACGCCTGTACAGAAAGGTTCACACACTGTGTGACAGCCATCATTAAAAGAGGCTGATAAAAAACAAATATGCACTGGGCGACACAATAAAGGGTACCACGTTCCTCCCAGAAATTATGGAAACATAATTCTACTATCCTACAGCTTTTGCTTACAGGATGAACTGTAAACCCTCTCTCCTGCTGATTGTAATTAGTGTACACAGTTGCGCTTCGTTTGGTAAGAGCTTAAGTTTGAAGATGGTTGGTTCGGTATCGCCAGCCCTCGCCTTCACCGAGCGCCGCAGCAGCAGTGCTGTTCCCCTGACTGTGACGCGTGTAGACGGCGGCTCGGCTCCTCTTCTCCCTTTCCTGTCATCGCGCGTGTGACGAGCGAGGAATGTCCTTCGCCTTCATCTTTCAGACGAAAGGAGCGCATTTCGGGCTTCTTTTAACCAAGCTATTAATAATAGTAATTTTACTGTTATTATTATTATTTATTTTGGTGGTAAACGTGAGTCGATCAAAGCCGGGACACGACCACCCGTTCTTTCTCAAACGAATTAAACGAAGTGTTCGGACCCTGCTCACAAAACTCTTTCTGGCGCGTTTTGCTACAATTTCTTCTCCTGGAACTTTGCAACAGTAATGCATTATTCTTGATAAAATGAACTTAATGAAATAAAACGCCTTGGTAAAACGAGGTTACAGTATGTGATCCTACAACATCGCTTGTATTCAGTTATTTGGTTTAAGAAATAAAATTATTATTAATTATTTAGTTAAAATTATTGGCGATCGTTTAAGATCCATCTTGCACGTCGCCCGAAGGAGTTATTACACAGAAGAAAATACCTGGCTGCTATTTCTGCTGATGCAATTAAAAATTATCCACCCATCCAATTTTCAATCCCCGTCTCAGTGAGGATTCAGTTAAATTATTTGCACTGATATTCTTTGGCAAAGGACAACGACGCATTTAACAATTGTCATTTCGTTATGATGATTATTGTCTTAATTTTCATAATGCGGGGTTTCCAGTTTCCTATTGCGGTATTTTTTGCAATAGTTTCTGCCACAGTTGCAAATTGATTAATTGCCCAGGTTTGTGTGTTGTTTCGCTTCTCTTTCGGCGAAGGGTAGGTGCTACAGTATAATATCACAAACGAAATCCAGCCTGGGCACGGCTGTAGGCGACGGTCCGACCCTCCTGCCTGCAGATCTGCCGTCAGTCTGTCCGGCACAAGGCGAAGAGCGGTGACGTGTTTATCCCGAACGTCTCACCGTGAGACGTGGGGAGTGCGGGGCTCTCATTACTCAAGGTCACTGGATAGTCGAGGAGCAAAGCTAAATAAATCACAAACACGATGACTGGATATGAACATGTAAAACAATAAAATTGACCGAAATCTTTTTTTTTCCGTAAGTAGAAAACCCGGTAAATTAAAAGAAAGAGTCATAAAAAAAATCACACTGGTCGTGCTGCGTGTCACATCCTGATCTGTCGTAACAGGACACCTGCGAGTCAAGAAATGCAGCGAGTGGATGCAGTGGTGCAGATGCAATTGATTGAATTTTTTTAAAGCGATTTGATGCGCCCTTTCGGCGTGAGTGTGCGTGAGCGGGTGTCGAGCGGGAGGCAGCTGCACCTTTAAGGCGCGGGAAGCGCCGAGTCCGCAGCAGTGCGCAGGAGAGGGCCACTCCGAGCCGCTCACAGGCAGAGAGGGTTAGCGCAGGGATCAATGTGATTAAAGCACCAGTGGGAAGATGTGTTTGCTCGCTGCCTGCTGGAAGGAGAGAGGCGGTGAAGAGGGTCTGAGTTTGGAGTCTCATAATTATTACCGCTTCAGATCAACTGGGCTGGGCTGTTTCGGCTGCTGAATTCACCTCGTTTTATGAGTTACAGCCATCGTCTCTTCTCTTTTACTGATGAATTACTTCTTGCGCATTTTTTCCTGAAAGTATACATAAATATTTTTGCTTTATGATTTTGTTAATTTGCTTTTTCTTTTTATTTATTTTCGTGTGTGTGTGTGTGGAGACTGCCGCCACCTGTGCGTGTTCCTCCTGGACCGGGAACTTCCTCTTTTTAAACCTTCTTTCTGACTCAGCACCACACCTGGGCTTTCGATTCTAGCAAGAGCAAGAAAGCTCTCCCCACCACTTCTCCACACACACACACACCCTCCTCCGCCCCGGCAGACAATCTCCCGAGCATCTCTCTCTGAAACGCACAGGCAGGGCTGAGGAGCACGGGGCAGCGACATCAAGCGCGGCGCGGAGTTGGATCACAGCTCTATCGAAGACAATCAGAGACGCGCAGAGAGAGAGAGCGAGAGAGGAGGGGCCGCCGCGCGAACGAGCGCCGCCAGTGCGAAGCCGGACTGATTTCCTCTAGCTTGAAGCTCCGTCACCTTGCAACTGACAAACTGAAGGGAAATAACAATATTCAGGGGAAAGTGTGCAGAGTGAGAAGAACCAAGCGTAGTGGCGGGATTGAAAGGAGCAGGGCATGTGGATATTGGCTATTATTATTTTCCAGAGCATCTTGAATGGTGAGTTATGACATTTATTTCTGGCGAAGTTCAATTACTTTTTCCTAAAAAGAAAGAAAGAAATGAAAATGAATTACCCTGAGTGTTTCGCACTCTTCAAGGGGGACAGGTGCAGTAGAGGTGTGCCTCGGGAATGATAACGTTTTGGTGGTTTACTGTTGCTGCCTTATTCTACAATAAGCGAGAGAAGGAGCAGAGCGAGCGCGGAAGAACTGCACTGTTATCATTTAAACTGGCTTACCTCGTCACATCACTAGGCTTAACTGCAAATAACTGGAGCCACACTGAGCATTTAACACGTACGGTGGAAATCACCTTCAGTGTTCACATTATTGATAATGCGGGTTAATTAATTTATCATGATGCACCCGAACAAACATCTTTTCGGTGTATTAGAGGTGTATATGTTAGTTCAGGTTATTTAAACAACACAGTCTCACGATCGGCGCTGGAATTGCGGTTCTTAGTTTCGAATTAGCAATATTCGTTATTACTTCAGCATTCTGAGCATACAGCCCTGGCTTCTATATGATGTCACGTTGTCGTAAGGACCTCCGAGTTGAGTGACGTCCTTCATTTACATGTAAATATGTTTTCTTGCACCCCCGGCCCTGACACTCCACCATAACAGTGCCTTCACAAAGTTACCATTTCATTATTGGCTCAAAGATTAGTCTGAAGCATTTTCTTATTTTTTTTAAGTGTTAATATACGTTGACATTATTGGATCATCCTAATCCTTAAACACTGACAGTTTATGCAAGTGTTGTGCCCGTTTTACTGAACGTGTTACTGGGCTGTAATGGTTGCCCTATAAAGCACATAACTAGATATTTTAGGCCTGAATTTCCTGCATAAATAAATAAAACAGAAAAGTAGCCTCTCCACCACATAGAGCAATAGTTCAAATTCAGAATCCTGGAAGCACAGAAGCACATTAGGCTTTCTTGAGATGAGAGGCCAGTGTGGGAGCTCATCAAGAACAGCAACCTTTCCATCTGTCCGGCTGCAGCAAGACTAGGAGGAGATCTGGAGCTCAGGGCCCATCAGGGGCCCCAGTCGGCCCCCAGGCCCTCGACACTCCTGCCAGGGGGGGCTCTGGGTATTTATAGATGGAGAACTGACACAGGAGTGGGGAGAGAGGAGGGAGGGGGGCAGAGGGGCTGATCTCCGTGACAGACAGAGGCGGTCGAGGGCTTGCGAAGGACACAGAGGACGAGTAGATGAGGGACCTGCGGAGAGAGCCCAGCTCCGCCGGGAGCCGGGAGCTGGGGGCTGGGGGCCGGGGCTGTGAGGCTGCAGGCAGGCACGGAGGAGGCGGCTGTGCTCTGCAGCTCCTGGAGGGACACTCATCATTCTACGTTAAGACAGGGAGGCTGAGGGGGCTGCACACGCCAAATTCTCCTTTATTCTGTCGACGTGAGGAGCTTTGTACCGAAACTCCATGCTGCCGTAAAAAATAACAAGGGGTTTGAGGGCTTGTTCAATGCACGGCGAATTTTCGGTTTAGCAAAGCCTCCACCTGAATTTCTCTTTGGCTGCTTTATGAAAGACGCAGGAGTCCTCTGCCTTGCTTGGGTGCCCAGGCACTGAAACATTAATCATCATCCCCACACGCTGGCCGTGCCTTAGACCTCAGCCCCTTAAAATGGGAATAGGGAAACATCTGCTTCGGAAACATTTACCGGCAGTGCGTTCTGATGTGCGTTTTAGTGTTTGACATAGTCATTACATCTGAATGATTCCACCTGAGTGCTTAACGTGATGTGTGCAGGATGTGTTCGGGAAAAATAAAAGAATAAATGAAGCTCGACGAAAAATAATTTTCTTATAGGGAGAGGCGACACGTTTTTGAGCGTTGATTTCAAACTAGCTTGTTTCCGTGGTAAATCTATTTGTTTTTCGAGGTGGACTGTGCGGCTGGAGTCAGCTTCAGCTTTCTCCCAGCCGGACGCCAGCCTCTTTCCTGAGCTGAAAGACTCGATTCCAGAAAATTCGTGCTTTTAGAATTGGGTTTAGCACATGCTCCTTGGAGCCGTCTCTATGGAAACCTCCATAATGAGTGTCAGAGCAGCGGGAGATTTGTGGAGTTAGGCCGCACTGTACACAGGTGACCCGGATGAGTTTTGTCAAGTTAGGCCATGCTCTATGCAGATGACCCGGAAGCATTAGAATGCATCTTCTTCCCATTCGATTCTTCAAAGATCAATTTCAGAGAAGGAGGGAAAGATATAACCTTAAAAAGTCTTTGGCTACTTAAAATTCCCAGATTCGCAAATATTGTGGTTTTGGCTGCATAGGTATCTGTTATTTTCTTTTAAATAACTTTTTTTTTTATCTGTGAGATTTCTTGCTTGGGTGTTGGTCTGTGCTAGATGGGATACCTTGTGGAACTTTAGTTGACACATTAATACTGTAAAAGAAAGTCAGGATTTCTTCTTCCTTCATGGAGTGCCCACCCCAAAGTGCACATTTCTGTCACCTTCCCATTGTGCCTTTGTGAACAATGTTTACATTATGGAGTTCAGGATACGGAACTGACATGAGCATCAGCAAATAACTTTCACCAATGAATGGTGACATTCCATGTGTTTGCACTTCTTTCCTTATCCAGTAGTTTTATTGCTCCCGCAATAAGTTATATTAGTGATGATTTGCAAATGGCATCTCCATATTTTGTGATTCATAGTTGCTTTATGAGATTAACTTGACAACACAAATAAGGTTCAGTGCTACCCGCTGTGATGTTTGTTTAGTTTTTTTTATTACCTGTATTATGGAAAAATTGCCATATCATTAAACAGTAACTAACAGAAAGATGTTCCCCTTCTTAGAGTACAGGCTATTCAGAAGGTTATTTCGAAGTGGATATAGGTTTGTGACAGCATCTGCATCAGAGGTAACATTTCATGAGCTGAGTAAAATTAGTTTATTTTGTTTTATAGCACAAGGGTAAACATTATACCACCAATCCTCTATGTCTCAAAGACATGGTAATATTTTCAAATATTGTACTGCCAGAAAATTAAAGAATAATGTGTTTAACATAATTTCCAGCAGGTATACAGTACTAGATATTTATAGAGTTAGTTCTGTAGAAATTGTTTGGTTTTGATGCTTAATTGGTCAAAATCTTTTGGTGTCCAGACCCCCATTTCTGGTAAGAGAATTAGATGTTGCTATATTCATTTTTTTTCATTTCCTCTCTACCTTGAGTGACTTATGTCTTTTTGTTCAAATGTTGTTGTGAGTTGTAATTTTAAAAAAATCTGTAAACTGGCACAGATGTGACTTATGTGCCACTTATATTTTAGAATGATTTAATTGCCTCAATTAAAATCCAAACATAATTACAATAACAGATTTATCATCAGATAGACAGACTAGGAAATGGGATTGATGGGTTTATTTTTGCTTGAAGGTGCCTGAGGGTGAATCTGATCAGAGCTCAATTGGACACTAATAAGTACTGCAAATATATAGCAATGTTACTTACAGTTCATTTAATATAGCACAGGAGAACAGTGCCCAGTAGATGGAGTTAAAATAAACAGGCAGATTTCCCTGTCTGAAGGTATTATAGCTTGCAAAAGGTCTCTGGCTGTGCTCATTTTCTCCTCTTGATACTGGCTACAATGGCCATGGGCACACTTGGTTTGGTAATGTAGAACTGATAACAATGCACATTGCACAAAAAGACTGTACAAAAATTTACCCGTTGATTTCTGTGTCATCACAGGGTGACTCTTTGGAATCCTCCATATGTGCCTGTTAAAACGTGTACCTTAGTGTGCATCTGTCTCAGCGTAGAAAGAGAATCACTGCCAAGCAAAGATGATTGCATCATTTCCGCATGTGGAAGGCAGAGAAAATGAGAAATAGGTAATGAATTTACCTTGGTGCAGTTTCATAAGGGAGTAGGTGATTAAAATTGATCTTGTTATGAAAGTGCAACCTTCGCTCTGAACGAGAAGACCCAGGGCCCCTGGCAGGAGAGGGGCATCGTCGGCGCCCCCTGGTGCTGAGGCAGGGCTGGTGCTGCTCGGGACCCATCTGCGCTTTGCGTGCACACGTACTCCCTCGACTTTCACTGCAGCTATTTATAGATTCTTCTCATTTAGGAGAGCGTGTGCTGGCTTGTCGTTACAGGCAGGGAAGCCCGACAGGACTTGAGGAGTGTGGGATAGCAGAATTCTCTTTTTCCCATCATGAACCAGAGCACTGGTGGTGCGGTCTTCTCCTGGTAGTGTCTGGGTCGCTGCGTACGGTCCAGTTTACTGTCTCCGACGTGCTTGACGGCTCTTTTTGGGTGTTAATGCTCAGAGATTTATTTATCTGAGGAAAATGCCCAGCTGGGCAAAACAGACATAAAATAATTAAGTAGGTCTTTCAAAGACAAAGTACAGTTTGTCAGGATGAAGTCAGGATAAACCGATTTCTGACCTCTCGCTTACAGTATATCATCCCTCCATGTAGAGGAATAATAATGGTACCAGAGTAAATACAGTATTGTTAATGAATTATTATTATTATTATTATTATTATTATTATTATTATTATTATGATTATTATTATAATACATAACACAGCAGAGACTGATTTTTACTTTTTGATTTTTAGGTCGTTTAGAAACACTGAATTATTTATAAATTAAGTCCTGTTTTTTTTATTAGAAGAATTTCATTGTCTTGAATAAATATGTTTTATTTTATGATAATGAATGTGTCCTAATTGCACAATGAAGAGAAAAGGAAAAACATTTTGAGGAAATCAATTATAATTGACTTTGCTCTACAGACCTCGGGGCAAAGATTTGTTTAGTTATTTCTTAAGAGCACAGCTTTATTTAAAAACTATCCTCCGAGTGGAGAAAGGCAGAAACAGTCAGATCTAAGCCCTGCTTGGTGGAACAGTATACAGTACACAGATTTCATTGCAGCAAATTTTTCTGAAGAAACAAGATTCCCAGGAAATGTTTATGTGTGTTGTGTGACCTAAAAATAGTTCATGCTATCTTTCACCAATTTGTCAATCGATATCAATTTTTGCATTCCACAATCAGATATAAATCTGTTGGGTTGTATTTTTGTTGCTTTCTCATTTTGGTGCTAGCCAGTAAGGAAATCGCTCCGAAATCTGTCATGAAGATGTCTGCCATTTTCTCAGCGAAGGGCAGCAGCTTCGGCGATGTCTGCCTCTTGGCTGACATGTTCTGAGTAGTGTTGAGGCCCAGCAGAGCTGGAACAGGCCGAGTTCAGCCCTGTGAGCTGGAGAGGGGAGAGCAGGCTCCCAGGGACAGAAAAACCAGGAGCAGGAATGGAAGAAATTCTTCAATTGAAATTTATTACTGTTACAAAAATTAAAAAAGCACTCCTCAGTTCACTGGGGACAAAAACATCATAGAGAAGGCATTTGTCATTAAACTCTGCACAAGAAAAATTATATTAACAAATTTGCTTGAAATATTTTTATATTAAATAAAAAATCAAACTATTGCTACTATGGCAATTATTATCAATTGTAAAAAATAGTTTTACATATACAGTATAATGTATAAATTGTAATAATAGTTTTAATTTTATTCTGCTTACTAAACTTTTGTTGCTATAAATATATTTAAATAGAGTACATTCGCTTTTTAATTATTATCACAAATCTTTATTGTTTTTCATTTTGAAATGCAACCAGATTTTGAATGTTGTGATTAAATACCTGAGAGAAAAATGTTTTAATATTTGTAATACAGAATTCTGTTGTGTTCTGTTATTCAGGATATATGATCCTGAATTAAAGAAAATTAAAAGCAAAAAATGTTACCTTTAATTTAAATACAATGTTTTGGTTTACTTAAAACGTAAAAACATTATATTTATTAATATTTATCATGTATTTTTGATCACAATATTGGGGAATATTATTTCTTGTTTAACTAAATGTATTTAAAAATATATATTTTTTGACTGAAATAAAAAAAATGTAATATAACCAATGAAAAATATTGTAAGTGGCCTAGAAGCCATATTTCTCTATAAAGTTAATTAATACATTTAGTGGTATTTAGTTAAATAAATTTAATTATCTATTTTAAATGTTCTCATTCAGCAATACTGTATTTACTCTGGTACCATTAACTAAGGTTCTTTATTTATAGTAAATGCTCACATGCTTTCTCAGTTGAGTTTTAGCAGGAAGACTCAATCGCTATTATTGCGAGGGCTGCATGTTAATGTGTAATAATGGATAGCCTGATCATTCCTGTGTTCTGCTTGTATAATGAAGTTACCCTACAAAGATGTTAAGCAGCAGACTAATTAGCAGTTAAGCATGGAGGAGTGAGGTAAGTTTCGATGAATGTAAAATTTAATTACAATTTGGAATCTTCTGCCTGGTTTGGATTCTGCTGAATAAGGAATGTGTAATTGCATGGGCCATATGCTATTAGATTTTGCATTAAAGTGTTAACAGAATCATTTGACTGAAGCTAAAAAGAGCTTACCCAGATGAAGGTGTTTGACCAATTGCTAGAGTCCCCAGAGACAGGATGTAATTGGTGAAGACTTGTTATCCTGACATTCAGAAAAGGCCTTTTTGCAGAAATAAGTTGTTTTTTCATTAACAAGCTACAAACAAAACTGGAGAAATAATGTTTACATAGAATCAATGTTTCCAGTATGAAACTGTATTTACTGGAATATAATCAAATACTGTATATCCAATTTTGTTAAGCAGGTTCCAGAGTATTGAATAACAATGATCATGAATACAAATTTACTAAATCTTATTAATAACAATAAACAACAAACCTATTTACAAACAAATTCACAAACAAATGAATAAGGTTTAACTTAATATACTGAACTGATCTTTCATAAAAGTTTAGCAAAATGTACAGAATAAAATACATTTTTGCTGTCATAATTATATGACTCTTATCACTTCTAAAAAATATATATTCACATTAGTTTTAAGGCAATATGCCTGAAGCATTCACTATTCCCCTTCATTTGTTGCTGGTTTTGCGCTCTTTGAATACTGTATGCAGCTGTAGTGTTTTTCTCTTGGCTAATAGACTTGAGATCTTAATCCAAAAAAAGAATGTTTAAACCTAAATATAATCACTGTTGATGTAAACACATAGAACGCTTTGACGAGATGCATTTGCATAAAACAACATCTGATAGCTGTAAAATGAAAATGGATTGGGATTCATGTTGCCTGAAATGAAAAAAAAAAGATACAAAGATGTAACTGGCCGAAATAAAAAGCAGACGTGTGACATTCCTAGCGCGGAGGCCTGGCGAGGGAGGTTCCTGCCCGCCGTGTCTGCCACCCAGACAGGGCCCTTGAGCGCACCAGTAATGCACGACACCTCATCAACCACTCCACTGGCGCTGGCTGCTCGCGATCCGGACTGTCCTGCCTGGGCTTCCTTGCAGCAGAGCTGTCTCTGGGATGCTGTTTTTCGTGAGCGGGGCGGGAGAGCTGGGAGAGGTGGAGCACGTGCCTCTTCTCCTGGGGGACCCCTGGGGGAGACTGCTGGATGGGCTTAGTGTCAGGCAGACCCAGAGCCTGCAGACTGGGGGAAATGTGTCAGTCGTGATAACAAACCGCACTGAAAGGGACCTTGCAGGGGGTTGAATGTATAGATAGGTTGCTCTGATGACTTGCCAGTTAAACCTCGCCTAGCTGAAGAGTTCCAGTGTTTTCTAGTCCTCTAAATTAAGGGTGACCATCGTCGTTTTCATGTCCCGTTTGCAACGGACCCATCTTTCACCTATTTCGAAATATAAACATCATAAATAATTGAGACTACAAGCAACAGCAGTCTTCACACCCCGACACCGCTACCTGTACGTGTGAAATCTTGAAAGCAAGTTGCTTTTTTAAATGGCCATGTCTATAGGCTCCTCCATTTAACAGGAATGTTGCTAAAAGGAACAGAACTTCTGATCAGTTATTCTGGCCAGTCTTGTAGAACTCATTGCCGCAACTGAATGGCTCCTGTTCAGGCATTTTGTTGAGGTAAGCCTCAGTACGTGGGAGCAGGAAGGGTGCTCATGCAGAACGCCCAACCACACCACAGATCTGTGAGTTGTGCTTTCCTCTTGTCCAAACACGAGTCCAGCAATTCAGCACAAAGGCTGGGAGAACCTCAAGAACTGTAGTGGGTCCAGGAGGCCTTTACAGTCATGCCTGGTTTTTAGGAAAAAGTTTCAAGGTGTAACTCTTCAAGGACAGATTAACAAACTGAGCTGTCTTAGAATAAAGGATTTGGGTTTCCATTATAGTAAATCCCTGGCTTTTTAGTCTGCGTGAGGCAGGGAACAGCCTTAAGTGGTTCTGCTGATGTCAGAAGAGCAGAGTCCCTTCACCCGGGCACCCATCTGGCTGCCCTTCCCGGTTACAGATGTCACGATGCATTCCTGTTCGACAAAACAGTCGCAAGGTAAAACAACAACTAAAAATATACAGTATGACTCTGTTTTCACCTCAAGCTCCTACAGGCCCATTTTAAACATTTTCTCTGGTCTGTTTATAGCAAAAACCTAGCAAAGCAGACAAAGAGAAGGGCATTAAAATGGCATCCCTTTCACTGGAAAAAAACACAGTAAAACTGCAGAACAGAATGCTAATTGTAAACTCCTCATCCCAGAAAGCAAACAGTATTTTGTAAGTAAGGTTGGAAAACTGTAGAAATTTGTGATGACATTAAACATGCATGTACTGTTATTATTGATTCTGTATCTTGCAGATAAGACACCAATGCAACCCGTATTTTCTCTAAAGCACAAAATGTAGCACTGGAGGTTTTGCACAACATTTCTGATAGAGGTTAGCTGTACTCCAATGTCTTAATAGATAGCGTAAATATACTGTTTAGCCACTGATTTTCAAGAGCTGTTTTACAAGTAAAGGTCTGTGTCTTCAGCGTGTCAGAGATGGAGATGCAGCTTATTTCACACACAGGGAACATGGTCTCCTGCACAACATGGATGGGAGAGGTAGAAATGCAGTGATTGCGGAGCAGGACTTCTCCACCTGTGCTTGTGCAGGGCTAGAGTCTATTTCTGGAGTTCTGTCAATGTAGCTCTCTCAGACTCACATACTGATTCATTTTGCTGTCAGTAAACTGTGTCACTTAATCAATGTGCAGAACAGAGCAGCACACTGCTGGACTGAACAACAAGAGCACGTATTAACTAAATGAATCATCTGCTGCTGTGTGCATGTAGTACCAGCTGCAGATCACCCTGTCCTGCTGCATTTAATAGCACAAGCTGGGACCAATCTGTTTTTTTTTTGTACACAGACATGCTCATTTTAACATGAGTCTATCTGTCTGTCTCTCTTCCAACATCTTTGTCTGTTTTACTGCGTGAGCCGGCCTTTATTTTAGCTGTGCATCTTTACCACTGCCTGTCTTCACAATTTACCTCTGCGTTTATCTATCGCTGTTTGCTCAATCTATCCACACACATATGTCTCTCTCTGTTGAATGCCTGAAAGCATAAAGAGGCCTTTATTCATTATGCAAATAAAAAAATGAAGGGTTGAATAGCAGCACAAAGCCTGGATAGACAGAGTGACAGCACAATAAATGATCTGCACTTGGTTTGCTGTTAAAAGTTATTAAATGTGGTGCAGACGGTGGTTTAAGACCCCAGCAGTGGCCCTGTTTTGCAGTAGGTTGCTTGTGGGTCAGGGAGAGCAGAAGAGCACACAGGGCAGGCTCCAGGAGCTACCCTATGGCACGGACTCCAGCGCTGGGCACCACTGGTGAGCTCCTTGCAAGTGTGCAGGGAGGACACAGACAGGTGTGGACTGGCATGCTCCAGCACCAGCAGTACAACTCCAGACTGCTGCTGCCAGCTCTCCCTCTGGACATTAGGACAGGGTGATAGCAGGATGATTGTTGTATCATAGCAGTGCTGACACCTGAAACACACTCACAGCTAATCAAACATAAACGTGAACATGTACAGTTACCTGTACTGAAAGTCATTATGTTAAGGAGCCATGGCAGTAGGTCAATGACAACAGGAAGTGCAACTTAAAACGTGCTTGTGTTACCTCATAAAACGTCCCAGTGCATCTCAAGCTGTAATGTTTCTTTCCCCCATCTAAAGGAAATTGCTTTGGTGCATATCTGTCCCCTGCCCCCATGTAGCTCTTGTCTTCTTGGGGTTGAAAGTGCTGGTTTATGACTCGGGGCTGGCCTAAGCTTGTCTTCGGTCTTCTGGCCCGGAAATGTGATATAATTTTGTAACATGTGACAAATTGTGCAATCACTGCATTCCTAAAAACACATACTGTACCGTGTGTCATTTTTCAGAGGAGAGTGGCTGCCCTCATCTCCTTTAAGGACAGGTAGTGGTTGATTAAACCTGAAGGGGCTCCACAGCTGAAACATTGTGCTTTTACTATCACAGTGCAGAGTGGAATTAACTACATTTTGCTGTGCAACTCTAATGCTGTCACAGTACAGTTCCCCCCCTCCCCTACCCAGACTTTTTCAGCACTCTTCATTCCTTTACAAAAAACAAGTGTGTTTTCCCTCCTGTTGGAGAAACCCAGGACATTCCTGTCCCATGTATAGCACCGACAGCAGGACAGGAGCAGCATGAGTCTCGTGGTGGTGTTGTGCTGCTCAAGCTGAGAGCAGATACGTCTGGGTCTAGTCTGGCCAGGTCATTGTTGTTTGTCCAGTCTCTCCTACTGCTGTTCTGCTGGTAAAAGACCATTCCAGTCCCACAGGGCCGTATCTCCAGCACAAAACCCTGTTGTTCATCACCCCTGGTGGGGGGGAGACTGAGGAAGAGTGGGGTGGAGGTGTCACTACATTTTCAGATGTGCTCATTGAAGCACATTTTGGAAGGGGAGTGACAGAGTTGGATACCATGTTTTTGATCCAGCACGCAGGCATTTAGATAACTAAAAATGTTCATTTAACGATAATTTGTTTTTCCACTACATTTTTTAGGCGTATTTACACAGAATTACTAGAAACCTCAGATTAATATTTAAAGTCTGCAAGAGTTCCTCAGAATATGTAACTTTTTAATTCTTGTAAATGTCTCATTAAAGTGTTGGCTGCCTGAGGAGCATTATGTGTTGGTTTCCTTCTCTATCAGCCCTTCCCCTGAAGTGATTATGCTAATTGGTGTTTGATCAGATGATTAAATTATAATTCGATTAATCCTGAGCACTAAACGCTCTGAATACATTTGCGCCTGCCTGACTGGCTTGCGTCCCCTGTCACTGTGCTAGCACACATGAGAAGGGATGACCTGTAGTGAAAGAGAAACATTTTCCAACCAAGAAGAAAAGGTCTGCTGTTTGAAAATGTAAAGTGCGTGCCTTTGTGATGAATAAACAAGGCATTTTCTAGACGGGAACGATGAACAGGCTTTTGAAGCAAGCACAGCATAGCATAGATTTACACTCTAAATCGCACTGATTAAAGATTACTAATAAGATGAGAGGAGCCAGCTGCTGGGTTATTAATGCAGACAAACTGGAAAAGCTGTCCCTCTGAGGAATCGCTTCATCAGAAGTCAGCCGTTTATCATATTAATGCGAAGAGGTTCTGGGTACACTGTTTGGAATGAAATCTGAAGTTTTTTAAACATCTATCAGCACTTGATTTAATCAAGCCATGTGACCAGTTTCTCACATTAAAACGGTCCAAATTCTACCAAAAGATCATACCTATTATTGTTTCATTTAACATTGTTTTTAAGATGACATTTTTTCTTAAATGGATCACCTTCTTTTAAAGCCTTCTGGTGACTGGTGAAAGAGGTGTTTAATTACTCAAATCTGTTAACAATCATTAATCAGAATATTTCCCCTTCATATAAAGAAAAGGTTTACAACAATGCATTGATGAAATATTACTAGAACCTTTTTCACATGGGTAATTGTTAAAGTATACTCTCAATTCTTATTTCAAGGCATGGCTGACAGTCCATTTACTTTTCATGTCATGAATACTGTGCAGTTAGAAGATACTGTTTATACCCTTGTTAGTAATATAATATTACCTCCTAACCCCAAAATCAATTCAAGTCTAACTTTTAGCAGCAATCCAATCTCAGTCTCAGTGCTCCCAGTCGGCTTTTGTTTTCCTTAGATTTTTCCTCTAGGGTTTACCATACTTCTATTACATTAAATCATTGTTGCCTTTTGCAAAATATCATCTTCTAAATTTCCTCTTTATCACTGCTAAGAGTTCAGCGTATCTTTCTGACTGCCTGACTGGTGTCAGAAATTAGTCACACCTAAGCAAGCAGATTTTCAGTTTTTCTCCTTTGGATTTGATAACATGGAGAAACCACGTCCTGTAGTCTTTCAGGAGGTTCTGGCACTACTCAGTGGGGATTTTGGACAGTTCCTCCATGCAAAACCTCTCCTGCTCATTCAGATCTGCTTTCTGTATTCTATACCGCAAATGTCCTATTGAACTGAGGTCTGAGGACTGTAGTGAGCAATCAACACTGTTGATTTGATGAACCCTTAAGCATTTTGCAGCAATTTTGCAGTAAAATGTGTGGCTACTTTTGACATTTTCGGAGGTGGATGGAAATCCAGTACTGATAGTCTGACGATTTTTTGAAGTTTTCATTTATTTCTGCAATAAAATACCGCTCGCACACTTTAAATTTGCATTTTTCGCCAAATCTGCATGTACAGTACCTGCCCGTGCATGCTGGTCTCTGCACAGCATGTAGGTGCTCATCTGCATCCCATCTTGCACTGGAAAACCTGAAGGAATAAAGGAATATTTAGATCCATGGCCACACGATTCCAATAACGGCTCCAGGGGGCTTTAGCATGGGTTCAGATGCTTCTGCACACAGGACGTGAGGAAGGATCTTCAATATCCATTTTTTGCTCCTGTGAGCTGTTAATATCAATGAGCACATTTTATTTTTAATTATGTTGTCAGATATAAAATAGTGTTCACCCTGGTTTCACAGCAGCATAGATTTCCACTCAGACCTGCCTGGTGATCTTGACGTGTGAGACGTAGCGGTGTACCACTGTGCGACTTTCAAGATGGAGAGTCTGGACCGCGGACTCCGCGCTCTCCGCCGGCTCGTGTGGGACCCGGGGGCTGCGGTGCTGTACTGAAAAGCTACCAGCGCGGCGGGCCGACCCTCCCCGCCTCCCTCTTTCCTTACCGCGCTCACCCCAGCAGGCCAGCTTCACAGTTCAAGCCGGCCTTTCAGCGGAACTGTTTCGGCAGATCACTTAAAATGACAACGAGTACCACGTACCTGCGTGGGATTTACCTGACGAGGCTTGGGAATAATGAACAGTAGTTGCAGCACGTGTAGTATTCCTAGCAGCGAGAGGCCACACTTCGTTTTCACTAAATTGTTTGTGCTTTGTACAATCTATCGGTCTGTCGTGCGTGGGGATTTAAAGAGCAGAGTCCTTCATCACTGCTTACAGATATCGAAGACACTGGGCTGGAACCTACAGCTTCATTCTCACCCGCTGCTCTGGCGGCACTGAAGCTGTCCTGCAGTCTTTCATGTCCTGGGCGCTCAGCGGAACGTGTGTGCGGCCGCATTCGGCGATCGTACCCAGTCTGCTGGAAAGGCTTTGTAAAAGCCTTATTATTATTATTATTATTATTGTTGTTGTTGTTGTTGTTGTTGTTATTGCTATATCAACAAAAACAAACCAATAATAATAGCAAGCTCTGGTGTTTTTATTTTAATTTTCGTGCACGGCATAACTATAATCGTTTTTGTGTTTTTTCTTTGAAATCGGAAAATTGATATCTTTGATAATTAACGCGTTTTGTTTGGATTACTGAACATTTGGGAGATGGACGAAAATATTTCATGAAAAAAAAAGTGTTTGAGGGGGATAAACACCGTGAAATATTGAAATTCGGGGGTGACTGTGAGTCCCCGTCTAATTTACAAGGAGCCAAAGAAAAACTCGCTCCCTTTAAGGGACGCAGAGACTAGTCATACCGTATGCTATGAAGGTCACCAGCTACACTGCTCTAAGTTTGCTAATTAGCGTCGTACTGTAGTATCCAGCCAGGTGCTTGCGCACAGGGTTGCGTTTGTACTTCTGCGGCAGGGGGCGCTCTGTCGAATCCGGAGGAGACCGTTCTGGTGCGCCGGGGAATTGTGCTTAACATTTCAGCGCGCTGCGTTCAGATAAAGATGTCACAATCCACATGTAATTGATGAATTAAAAGCCGCCATCGCTCGATTCTTTTTCGCTGGCTTTAAACGGTGACGCGCAGATCCGCAGATGGCAGCAAGCCGCCTAGTGAAATACTTCACAATCACAGGTAGCTCTGTCACCAAGCTCGCCTGTCGTCTCCCGGCGTCACAGAGCATCTGCGCGCTCGCCCGCCGTTGCCAGAGAGAGGTGAACCCTTTCCTTCTGTCGAATCGCTGTATATATGTATGAAAGCCAATTGCGAGGCACCGATCCCGCAAGCCGGTACGCGGCTGTAGCCGTGGGCAGGAGCGGGAGTGCCGGCTCGCACGGGTCGGGGACGGCCTTAATTACCGCAGGTCCGAGACTGGTGCTGCCTGCGCTGCGCTCTGATCTGGGTGACAGGGGAGACGATGGGCCGTGGTCACCTGACAAGCCAAACACCCCTGCTCCACTCCGTGCTGTTAAAGAGACGGCTTTCCGCCTCTTTCGGCGTTTGACGCGTTGGTGTTTCTCTGCAGTTCCTCACGATTATGCCGAACCAGCGTGCATGGGTAAATGCAGTGTGTAAAAAAAAAAAAGACCCGTCGTTCCCTTGCTATTATTTCAATGCGCACTCTGTTATTGCTGGAGTGGTCGGTCAGTATTGATCGCACATTTACTTAAATGAATCGCTTCAGTAGTTCTGAAAGCGCCCGTGTGATGGCTGGTTACTCGCTGCCAGTTGATCAGTGGTGTTTGATTGAGCGGTCCGTAATTTAGACTGAAGGAGAGCGAATATTAAATGCCTTCTGTTTCGTTACAGTACAGTCTCAGGAGAAACTGGGCGTCTAGAGTGACTGCATATACATCATGGTGCATCATATTCATGTGTGCTAATAAATATAGTAACGTATGGTCTGTTTTCTTAAGGCCATAGCTGTTTGTGTCTGAGACTAACAAGTAGATTCACGCCTGTAGTTTTTCGTTTTCGCCATATATAATGTACATATCTGTATTTCTCCCCTGATGCCCGAAAGCGCTGCAGCGCGTTTGTGCTCGAATCTGTGCAGGAGTGAAGCAGGAAGTGACGCGTCACACACCTGGGCTCCGTGTCGAAGCGTCATGATCTGCAGTGGGCGTGTGTCAGGGCACCGGGGAGCTTGTGGTGGATAACCGAGGATATCACCTGGCTGGAGCACATTGCCTGCAGTGAGCTTGCTTGGACACACAAGCATACCTAATAAACCAGCCCTATTATTAAACTTTCTTTCTCTTTAAAGCTCTGGCTATGTAAGAGCGTGCAACAGCTGGAGATCTTGACAGTGCAACAGGCCGTCTGTTCCTCGGATGTGCTGGTCATGGTGAATGTCAGTGGAAGCGTTAAGAATGTACTGTAAGGTGAGAAACGACAGCCCATCTAGCCTGTTGGAAATTTAGGAGTTAATCGATCCAATTGATTGTTAATATCTGGCTAGTATGCGATACTTAGTCACAGTACAGCAGTTTTACCGGATAGTACCCCTGTATTCCTATTGCAGGGTAACAGGCAATGACCTTTACAGTTCGCTTGGGGCTTGAGGACGGTCACAGGTCTGTTATATTTCTTCTTCTGGTTTCATGTTTTTCGATATTGGATTTTTCATTGGGCTGTGGAGTGCGGACATGGCAGTGCTTGGGTCATGAAAGTAATAGTGAAGGTGACACGGGACGCTCCAGAGCTGTTCCAGTGGCGCCTTGTGGAATCGGATTGATTCTGTGAAAGAAAAAGTAAAGTCCTGGGCAGAGCGCAAGACTCACCCCAGTTTCCATGGTGACGGGCAGACTAGAAAGCACATGACCTGCCCTGTATTGATCCCTGCTTATACCCCTGGGGGGACTGGAGAAACTGGGGTACAGTACCTCACTCAAGGTACTGGAGTGGTTTCTGCAGTGGGGATTCGAACCCACCATCCACCAGTCCAACAACTCACCACCACACTGTGCGACGCCTGTTTGATCATGTAAGAATTATTATAGACACAGTGAAACAAACCAACTGCTTTATCCCCGAGACACATCTCTGATGAGCTGTAACATGTTGAGTGTATTTTGTCCTAAATCACATTAAATCCCTCCGTAAATCCAGACAGACATCAGGAGACAATTATTATCAAGTTCCATCCTAATTTATAAAATAAACATGTGCAATCTGTTGAATATATTGCGAAGCTGCCTCTTGCTGTATGAATTTAATAGAGTGCTGTTTTTTTTACTTCTAAGTCCTTTAATAATCACGGAGGGAATAAACTCAAGAATTTTTTTTTTCCCTGAGCTGATTGCTTGTCCTTTTTTATCAGAATTGTTTAAGCAATAGTACATGTGTACCCAGTCTTCTGGCTCGGAATCAGACTTGACACAAATGTTTGCCTGGCCTGCGGTCAGTGAGGAGGGCTGTGTTTGGGTCAAGCAGGGGGAGTGACCCGCGTGAGCTGCGCCCTCTGCGTGCTTGGTTTAGACGCGCCGCGTGATGCTGGCAGGGATGCAGTGTGTGAGACCAGTCCCACGCTTCACCTGCACAGTGCAGCCCCCCTGCAGAACACATCTCGCCGCAGTCGTGTCTTTTTCCTTCTGCAGGTCTGGGTGCGCAGACCCAGTTCTGAAGCCTCCCGGAGCAGAAGGGAGGTTTCGGATTTCAGAGAGGGCTAGATATCGCACCATGGCGGGGCGGTTTTCTTCAGAACAAATGTGAAATTCCAGCGAGGCTCACGATCGCGGGCTCAGTGCTGTAGAGTTGTTTATCAGTCTTACATGGGAAGATGGGTTTGAAAAGGTAAACTGTACCGTACTACAATGTGTGCTCTCAGACACAAAGCCTTTTCTGTAATATGGCATCATTCACCCATAATACACACGGGGTTTAATTTAGGATTATCTGAATGTAGTTTAAGTACCCTGGCTGCTTGTTTCATTGTGGCTGTGCCTGGTTTATTTTCAGCTGCCTTTCAGGGTGCTAGTGGATAAACGGAGGCCTCTACGGAGGCTGCTCGTTTTGCTTGAGGGGGGCAGGCATATTATTTTCTATTTGTAATTTGTTCATATCATTTTTTAACTTTGTAACTGTGCAACTGCTCAAATGAGGCCAGTGGGTCCTCTAACAAGCTCAAAGCTGCTTACAGTGCAGGGTGTGGCCAGGTCATAAACCAGCCATACAGTATATGACCAGGACTTCTGTGCGGCCCAGAAGCATTTCTAGGTCGTACAACAAACTGTGTGGAAATTTTTAACATCTTCATCAGCTGTAGAGAATGTAGAAAAGTGTGTGTGTCTTCACAGGTTCGTGCTAGAGGGGCGTTCTAGTTTTTACCACAGTGTTCCCCCCTCATGGGCACTCACACAGGGCACGGGCATGGGCACGGCAGTCTCCTGTCAGGGAGGAGGTGACTGTGAGGCCTGGGGAAGCACAGGGCATTCGAGGCAGCTGGAATTGACAACTAGATGCTCACAAGTGGAGGATAAAGCAGTGACACAAAAACTGTGCCATCCATTACGTCCTGCTGATAAGGACAGCTTTAAAATCAAACAGTCTGCAGGCTTCCAGCTTTGCCGACAGAAAAAAAGCCTAATTAATTATAGATGCAATGAATACATTATTGAACAGTATCACTTATTTCTTCTTTATGGTTCAGCTCATGAAAAATTATGTCAATTAGAAATTTTCACTCAGGTCGTTGAGCAAATGGTAGCTTTGAAATGGGCCGTTTGGGCACAATGACCGTAGGCCTTTCTGGGTGGCTTCTGTTTGGAAGAGCTGCAAATCAGGGAGGAGGAGAGATTTAAATTGCTCTGCAGGTGCAAAACCAGGGTCCTCCAAAATAAACTCAAAGAAATGTACACGGTCAGGCCAAAAACCAACGTATGAAGAATTAATTCTGTGTGGACCAGCCCAGTTATCTGCTTAGTCCAGCCCCTCCCTCATCAATGGATGTAGCTGTTACGGCCAATTTCTCTAAGAAGGAATTTCTTTGTTTATAAAGGGTGCTATACAAAGCAGCCGATTATGCAGTGTTCCTGCCGCTGAAGAACATAGAATAGTCTCTTGCAATTTTGCAAGAGTCATTCATTTACAAAACACATAATTGGGTTCTTGATAGATAACCTCTCTTTGTTTCTACAACAAATTAAATACCACCTCTATGAAAAAGGTGTGCTTTTAAAAATCATCTGTCTTCTTTCAAAAACTGCCTTCAAATCAACATCTAGCTTTGTAGCTCCGTGCATATAAATACTTTATCTTACAGAAGATGAGATTCTAAGCATGTAGGAAGATTTTTTTTGTTCGAGATTTTGCAACTTCTATTTTGCATTTTTACACCAAATATTTGAACAATATAAGAATGCTTT